CTTCTCCATCAATTATGCTCTCTCCATCCACTCTCGTAGTCTCTATATTATTGCATATTTTAGTGGTTAAAGAACGTCTTGTAAGTTTTTATTGTCGTAATTTTTTGCAGTTTGCTTTCCTGATAATTAAATCTTGCGTCAAGTCTTTATTTTGCTATGATAACAATAACCAACTTTACTGATTTCATGAGCATCTCCATCGATTATGCTCTCTCCACTTTTACATCTTTTCTATAGTATTGCATATTTTAAAGGTTAAAGAACGTCTTGTAAAAGTCTTATTATCGTAATGTTTTGCTTTTTCCCCCCGCATATCTTCTAGTTATAGTTCACCACCAAAAACCACTGGATAAGACGTGGATGATTTCAGTTTTATTTCGAATAGTATTGTTTTATTATCTTTAAAAAACTCTCCAGCGTATATTTTCTTTTCTCTATCCCTCTCTCAATTTTTTTTTTGCGAAAAAGAAAGTATAATCGTGGCGTTATGAAGCTTGTGGCTAAACTTAAACTTACTCTTGTGAATTTTTTTTTTTTTGCTTTTTTTTTTCTATAAAAAAAGAATAAATTAGTGAATGAATCAAATAAAAAGGAATCAATTTGTTTCTAAGATCATAATTTTTTGAATGCGGAATTTTGCCGTTATTAGAAACATGATTATAATAATTGGAGAGATTAAAGTGACCAAGACGATGCTATAGATCTATACTAGTTGGAACAAAAACATATAATGACTCAACCACGTACGCAATTCTAAGAATAGTAACTGTTTTTGATCGACGTGTCTTGAATATTTTATTCTTCCAGAAAAAGGGGTCATTTTCATGCTTTGTTCGACTAGCGGTATCCTTGTAAACAAAACTTTTCTTGTCTTTACGTGTACGGCTTGTAAATGACTTGTAAATGAAATAAGATATCCATTTATTGCATATCAGTGAATGTCTCGAGGTCTGTCCTCAGGCGATTTGGGAATTGTTCAATAAATTAGCTGCTTTTACGCGAACAAAAATGTTTAGTCAAGTTATGAATGTCAAGAAATGATTTTAACTGAAGGCTTGAAGTATTTAAACTCGTAAAGAAATTGTTTTGTTTAATTCCTTTTTCAAAAAAATGATTCTAGATTTTCTTTAATTGTAGATATTTCCGTAAGCTACTGAATTAGGGATGAGGTACCCGATTTAGGGGGGAGGGGTGGCGTTATCCGGTACCCAACACCTCTGGAAATAAAATCTTAGATTTTGTCTCCAAATATCTCCAAAACTAAAAGCAAAATCACAGAAATGAATGGACTGTCTGTCTGCATGYATGCTAAAAAACATATTTGTGTATAGAAATTGCCAGACCCCCAGTATCGAGCATTTGAACAGGTCTCTGAGGGGGGAGGGGGTATGTGCCGGTATACACCACCTTAATTCATAAAATCGTGTCCTATTTTTGACCATTGTTTTGACCTCTTCCCTTACTTCGCTTTTTTCCCATTTCTTATTTACTTTTTTGTTCACCTTGCCTTTTGAATTTCGTTCTTTAATTTTCTTTGTTTAACCAGAACAAACCCCAGCGATCTTCACTAACTCGTTCAGCGCGATCCAAGCCCATTGTTTCTGCTTGCTACCACGTGCTTTCTTTCTATAGCTAATATAACCGGATCATTTCCCCTCACTGTTTGATTCATTTCCCACCGCTTATTCGTCCGGAAACAAAGCCTTACCAATACCTCCCTCCCCCTTCCCTTCCCTCCCCTCCCTCTCCCCCATCCCCTCAAGATTGGCGCTACTCCCTATTTTTCCTATTTCGTGAGCAGTTGGTGTCTTATGTTGTTTTTGTTAATTTATTTTCCTTGTTACATGTTTATATCGTTTATTTCTAAATATGTCAGGTCGTTCGAGAAAAGCAAAGACAGTAATGAGAAAAAACTATGCCAGTATTTACAGAATGAGTTGTCTCCAAAACTCATGCCCCTCTTAAAGGTACGTACCACATGCAAAATATTAAAAAAAACTTGTTATTGCTATTCAATAACCCCCGCAAGTGCAGCAGTGGCACAGATCAACGGGTTCGAATTGAAAGCAATGAGAAGACGCCTCTGAAAAAATAATATATAAAAAATCTTTTTTATTTATACACGGTAGGCATTAAAGCTAAGAGCTTGTGGGGCCGTGTCTACACACTCTTTACTACATTCGAATATTTTATACACACAACTCTCAACTCACAGCCTGACAGCCGCTAAACAGTCTATATATGAACCCGGAGCACAGCTCTAACAGAAATACACCAAATCGAAAAATGGCTCTACCAAGTCGCTACTCAGTGCAGAACAATTGCTATTCAAATTGGTCGCCATTTTTCGAGTACGTGATTAAGTTCTGTGAGGCACGAGTTTTTTTTTGTCAGGCGGCTTTCTTTGAAAATGCTGCGGGCATAACGTGTCGGAGAATTAGTGCAGTGTTATGCTTTCAATTAGACGATATTACTTTGAATATTAATCAGAGTCTTTTATCTTTTCTTGTCTTAAGGACCATGAAAAGGAAAAAGAACTAAAGAGCAAGAAAAGGAAGAGCAAGTCACCTAAATCCAGACAAAAGGTACGAGTTCGTCCCTTTTTTTAATTTTTCTTTTTCACGAGGGTATCTCTTTAATAGCCAGTGGCTAAAAAACCTGTAGCCCTCATTCCATGATCGAATTGGAATTTAGGAGTTGATTTTTGCGGAGGGAGGAAAACCGGAGAACCCGGAAAACCCTCGAAGCACAGGAGAAAACCAACAAACAACTCTACTCCTATACAGCACCGAACCCGGCGGGACTCGAGCTCGGGTCGCATTGATGAGAGGCCAGCGCTCACACCGCTACACGCCACCCGCGCGTTCTGTCGGTGCCTCTCTTGTAAACCCTTCTAGAGGATCCTGGATCTATTTTAATGATTATCAAAGAAGAAGCGTTTTGGATGTATACTTAGTGAAGTATTTTACAACCATTACTCCCCGTACGGGGCTCTTCCGCGAGGTTCCTTCCACACGCACTACCACTACATTCAACACTACTCAACTCACATGTCAATTTTTACGGACGTACCACAGAGAGCCCTTTGGAACAAGTCAAACCCACGCCCATGACAAGTAAACTTTGACTGGAAAATAAGTTTGAAAAATTTGCTCGTGCCAGCATATGCTGTTGACTTCGAAGTGAGCAGCCATTACATATGACGTTATTAATGCCTGTTAGCGACAAGACAAACTCTGTGTCAAAGCATTTATTTTATGAATATATTGATTTCAGTGGAAGTGGACTTCTCTCTGAGGTCGTGAGAACCCTTTGCGAAAGAGAATTTTAATTGCCCAACTTTTTTCTGTTATTTCACTTCAAATTAATATTTCTCACAAAAATACCCGACAATTTTTTTTATTCGCTTAAACTTTTCGTTGCATGACTTTGGTTTTCTTTATAGAATAGTTTCACGGCAACCACTTTCAGGAAATTAAATCTGCTGTAATGCAAAAAATATTGGATTGTTTCTGCTCTACTGCATGGTTTATACTAAACCCTTCTATTTTGAAGTAGAAGTTGTACTTCACCTAGATTTCCTTTTTTCCGAAATATACGTGAGTGAATCAAATCACAGGTAGCCCAAGTTACTGGTGGGGGAAAAAATCTTAAAACGGGCTAAATTCCAAAAATAACCACACAGAACGAAAGAGGTGCTATTTCTCAATGATCGGGTAAAATTTAGAGGCTTTATTTCACGTTTCAATGATTTTATTGAAATTTTTGATGAATCCCCATACATTTCCTTATAATATGACACCACAGAAACCACGCTTGGGCTACCTGTGATCAAATTCCCTGATTGCATTGATTGCATCAGTCAGTCACTTTCTGATTCATACGAAAATATTGCTATGAGGATGTTCGGATTGCTTTAACTTATAGTATATTCAGTATATCGCGTGATTACATACTTTTCATCCTACTGTCGCTTATATATAATTAATATTCCCGCTAAATTTTCCAGAGAAGGCGCCCAATTCCAATTGTAGATCAGCTAGGATTGAGAGAGATGTTGTATTTTTATTACTAAACACAACACAATAAATTAACTGCGTTTCCAGCTGTTCTAGGGAAAAAAACTCCTAATTGCTTTACTTTAAAGTTGGTATTTCTAGTCCATTATCTAGAGAAATCATCCCATGACAGATCAGCGGATTGAGAGAGAAATTATGCATATTTATTACAGTATTAAGACATTGCGCACGTGCAAAAAAAAAAAAAAAAAAAAATTTAATCAGCCAATCAAAATTCTACAAGACATCACGTTCGCGGCAAGGCACGGAAGGTCACAGAGCTTTTCACAGTCATACGAAAATTGCTTTATGTTTTAGGGTAAAGTTTATCTGACTTTTGTGGTACACGGGACGGTCAAACCAATCACAGCGCGCGAACACCGTCACTACTCTCAGCCGTTATCGTACGCTTGTAGAACGATTTTTTTYCTGTTTAATGCAGGAGTTAGCAAAGGAGGACGAAAAAGATGCTCTAATCAAACAAGAAGAAGAAGAAATCGAGAAAATGAAGCAGGTTAGTTGGGAAATGAAAATTTGAATCTTGAATGGCGTCCATTTTGGATCAAACTTTGCCAAATCGCATTGGTCGCTTACAGAAGGCGCTTGTGCGACCTTCCACAGTGTTGAGTAGGAGTGGTCGATTATATTTAGCATCAAACCTCTTTTGAGAAACCCTTACTTTAATTGCTTTTTTATTTAAAGTGGACTCCCTGTGGTACATTCCGAAGCCAGTGATTTTCGAGGGATCAAGACCAGGAGCACAATTCTCCCGTCCCTTCCCCCCTCTCTGACTTTGTCAACCTTCCCCTCCAACTGAGAAGAAAATATACTCTACGCTGGCATGAATCCAACAGCTGGTATCAATAACGCATGAATAACCCATTAGGAGTGTTGATATACCATATGGCACAAGACAAGGAATAATAATATATCAACCAGATCGTTAAGCATGGCCGCTACTTTGTACTCTAAACTCGCTCCCCCCAAAAATAACTTTTACTCCTTGTTCTTAGGAAGAAGAAAATGAAAAACAGAAAAACGTGGAGGTCGAGCACAGAAAGAAAGGAAGACGGAAGAAGGCTGAGATGATCCAACGTGACGACACGAGTCCAGAACAAGAAGAATCGTCGAAAAACAATAAGGTAAACAAACGAATGCTAATAATTTCGATATTATTGTACTTATATTAGAAGTAGCATTTAGTGTTTTGCTTATAGTCGTAATAACAACTTGCAGTAGTGAAGTTTAGGGGCTTCGTAAGCATTTATGATGTTTTCTTTTCTCATGACTGATTTTTTTTTATGGGGGCAAAAAGTCGTTTTATATTAAAAGGAAACGAGCCAAAACCATAATTAAGAATTTTTCTTTCTTTTTCTTCTCTTACTCTCGTCACTCTTCCTCTCTTTCTTTCTCTTCCAATTTCAATTCCTTTTCTTTCAATACCCTTTCTTTTCTTTTCTTTCCTTCCATTGCCTTGCTATGTTTCCTCTTTCCCATGCTACGGTTCCTTTTATATTTCTATCCTATCCTTTCCTTTCCTTCCCTCCCATTTCCCTCCCTCCCATTTCCCTTTCCATCACTTTCATTTCTTCTCTTCCTTTTCCTTTTCCCTTTCCCTCCCAACCCCTCTCCTTTCTTTCCCCCACAATAAGGAAATTCTAATTAAAAATAGGCAATTAAATAAATAAATAGACAGATTAGCAATCTGATATTGGCCAGGAAATTGATATAACTAGACATCAATTTAAAAAAAGACAAAAAGGCTTTCGATCGTTACTTTCCACCTGCAGACTTCATTTCTTCATTTATTGACGAAATCAACTTCTAAATTCTAATTCGACCTATGGTTAGCCCTTATCAAGTGGGTCGCAAAACCTGTTAGACTTTCCGTCCACCATGGAGTGATAAATCCAATTAGATTGTTAGATTGTAATAGGGTGCGGAGCATTTAAGCCAGGCAAAAACAGAAGAAAAAAACAAATTCCAACTGACAATTGCCATTGAAGTATCCTGGCGTTTCAAAACAAACTTCTAATCCCGTTGGACCGTGTTTAATCGGAAGTCTGTTTTGTGTGTTGTCCATTCTCCTCTTCACGCGTTTCCTGTACATCACGCAGAGATTCTCATCCCTTTCCGGTCTTTGTATTAGTAACGTCACAAGAGATCAAGACTGCAGCGTCGTGTTTTGTTAGTTGGTGTCCTGTACCTATTTGTCTCATAATCCCCGGCACGTTTGTTTAATTAATATCCTCTCATTGTCGTCTTTCCTCGTCAGTAAACGAACCCAGTTGGTGTTCTGTCCAAAAGTCTATATATTTTTTAAAAAAACATGTAAAATCAAATATTGTTTTTCCCCCGTCCTGTTGGGTTTTGTATGATTATAGACAGCTGTTGCTACGACAGTAAGGGTTTGAGAAAACAATGACAAGTTCAAAGGCAGGCGATCGTCATTGTACTTAATCTGATTTTTGGGATTATTCAATTGATTTAAAACGAACCATGCTCTTATTTCCCACAAGAGCAAAAATTTATCGTTTTCTCACAAAAATGTATCTTTTTCGAAGAGAAGGCGCTAATTACCTTTCGTCAGTAAAGCCAGTAAAGCTACTATGAATCTTCCATAAAATTCTACTCGGTTTTAGCCGGTCACGCAATAAATCTTTCGGTCACGGAGGCGTGGTCACGCACATATCAAACTGTTTATCCAGTCATATCAGGGATGTGCCTAGATCTCTTCAAAACACTCAAAAGGTCCTTTAACCGTAGTTTATATTCTGCTCCACAAAGTGTTCATCATTGGAGCACGCACGTTTGTCACTGTACGTGGTGACCTACCGGCCACAAAGTTGCCATTGAGCAGTAACATAGATTGAGCAGCTTGAACAGCAATTTAAAATCGTGATGTAATATCGGGTTCTCAAGCTCAAACGGACCGCAATAAAAAAGTCATCACGATTTGAAGAATCTTTCCTATACTTCAATCAATCAGGGTCTTTCAGAATAAGTCCTATGGTGTAGTAATAGTCAGTACGACTCCTCGATCGAATATTGAAGGCGGAAGTCGCTTTTTACATATAACAGCTTTAGTTAGCTCGATAGACTGGTATTTCTGTTACTTTAGAGAAGGGACTATAAAGGCTTTGCAGCTTCACGTGATGACAGCCATGACATTTTAAGTACTGATTCTTTCTCATGATTTACATGATTTCATTTTCCCGGGGGAAAAAACTATTGTTGTGCCTCCTGTTATGGCTGTCATCAATAGTCTTTTTCCCCCTGGAAACGTAATTCATCCTCATGTCAATCATAAGAAAGAATCAGATCTTAAATGACGTCATAGCTACCATCACGCGATGGTGCAAAGCCTCTTTATACAGGTGTAATATTCTATGCTGTTGACTAATGATTTTAATGGTATTTTCCTAGGAACAAGAAGAATTAGAAAAGAGGGTTGCAGAAGAACTTGAAAAGCAGGAAAAAATGATCAGTTCAGAGGACATCGAGAGTGGCCTGGTACCAAGGACGAAGCGTCGTTGCGTTATCGTACGCGAACAGACCAAGAAGAAGAAAGAATGGTGGGATGAAGAAGGTATTGGATCTGATTTAGACGAAGCCGACGAAGATGCTGGTAAGATGTTTGCTTCTTACTTTACTTTGATCCTGCAAAATAATGTTGTAGATTATCGTAGGATAGTGCATGATGGGGATGGTTTTTAACTAGACCCTTTCAGGTTGGGAGTAGTCTCCTTTGCAGCCGTTCTTGGAGTTTGGGAAAATCGTTGTAATCGTTGATGGTGGTGATCACGATGTTATGATGATGATGATGATGATAATGAGGAGGATGATAATAGGGATGAGTATGACAATAGTGGAGAAAAACATTTTCGCGCTGTGCATTATCTAAACTTCAAGAGCGTACTAGTATAAAAATCAGTGGTCCTTAAGATTACGAGTGTGCATACGTTTTTCTCGTGTCGGTGATGAGAGCTGCCATCAGTCTTTTGTGCGGTTTAGAACCGGAGACCAGCTGTATATATACCATTCTCCTTTCACGTATTATGCTAACCTTTTTCCCTTCGTTTATTAGATTCTGACAGCTCAGATGGCCCTAGACGTAAGAAGAAGCGCAAGCTCATCAAACCTGTAGAGCTTCCAGGACCTACCAATAGAACCTACGTATTCTCCACCGGACTTGCTAATCGAGCAGCTGAAGCTGTACAACAGGGAAGAGTTGAAAGCATCATAGCATTCCATCGTGCACAGCAAACAACCTCGCCTTATTTAAGACTAGAAAAAAACAGAACTTTCGATTCGTCCAACAAAAGTTACGAGCAACAAAAGGCTTATTATTCTCAACARTATCGTCAGCAGTCGATGATTCCCCGGGGATACGGTGGCATGCCCGTGAGTATGCTTCCCGATGGTAGTGCAGGACCCGGTGGTAGACCAGGGTACAGTCCAGCACAGTGGCAACAAATGCAGCTCCAGCAACAGTACTTGAAAGACAGACAGACGCACCAACACTCTTCTCAGGCAGTTGATGACTTGAGCCAAATAATATTCGGCGGTCCTACCAATGGTAATGCCCAGCCTCCTGTGGGTGACCCTGTGTATTCTAGAGGCGCGTACCCCCAAAGAATGGGCATGCCGGGACAGCCAGGGGTCCAGTATGGGTACCCCCAAAGAATGCCTACACAGCAGCAACCCTCTACGTTTCAGGATAGCCGCATGAATGACCAGTATCGACCACCATTTCAACAGAACCAATTTTCTGGCTACACTCAACAGCAACAGCAAGCGCAGTTTTTTCAAAGACCTCGACAGTTGCCTCAACTACATTCACCTGGTGCACAGTCCCCATCGTCTGATCCTCTCGGTGCCAACGTTCGTTCCCCACCCCCACCCTACCCAGGCAATCGTACAGGCGACAGTAGACCTCAACAGCAACACCATATAGTGAATAGTCCAGCACCAGTACCATCACCTACTAGTACAGGATCACCGCAAACTCCACTCACTCCACATACCCCACACACGCCTAGATTCTCTGGTGCTGTGCCATCGCCAGGCGAGCCAACGAAGCCGCCATTTTCTCCTTCGAGTCAACAATCACCGTACGTAGGCGCTGGAATATTTCCTGGAACGAAACGACCCAGCAGTGAGAGTAGTGGGTCTGAAACGACAAACGAGGGTCCAAATCGACCAGGATACATAGACTTGGGTAATAAACCCTACCAAACTGCCCCACCTAACTCTCACAGGTCTCAAAACCCTTATCCAAGCTTTAGTCATTCGTCACCGATGGAGAATAACCAGGAGAATGCACTACGATCTCCTACCGATATTCAAGACCAAAGGTCAATGGCACCTTTCGACAATCTATCTAATGAAAGCCCTTTCTTAACGTCATCTGGTCATAATATGGATCGAAGTCCGTTCTCAACTTCCACCGCTTCCGTTTCAAAGTCCTTCTCGGTAGAAAGTCTAACAGCTCCCAGTCAACCAGCCGGCCGCACCGGGCATCCGCTAGGGACCGAGCAGCAAATGGGCCCGTATGGTGGCATCTACTATCAGTCAAAATACCAAGCGCCCGGAATGTTTGGTGGTCAGCGGTTTCCTTATCCTTCGGAAGCTTTATACAACGTTCCTATGCAATCCAATATGTACATGGAGCGCGGCTCTATGCCCGTGTACCCCCCTGGTAGGGATTCGCATTTGTAAGTTAACTACGAACGACAAGAAGCTGTTGTAATTCCATAGCTTGCTGCAATGGATCTAAGAGCTAGACTGCCGTAGGTAAAACATGTACTTTAAAATTTTTGATAAACCTAATTTTTTGGGAAAGGCAGACAAACAATAACAATCCTACGCGTCATTGATTGGTCTCCGCAGCTTTGGTCAAACTGAAGTAAACTTGAATATTTATCATTCGTCCATACTTTTCTACTGTCGTGAAGTAGATCTCCTCAATGCTTACGTTGTGCACTCGGTTCTTCAAATTCTGAAATATCCAGAGATGAAGACTTTGACTTTCAAGCAGATTTGTTACTATTTGGACTCAGCGAAGACCTAGTTGTCCTGCGTCTTTCTAGCCAAGGATTGTAGTTACCATAGCAATAGTTGCAATAACAGTGCCTTCAATCGAATAACCTTGGGTTCAAGTAACATTCATTCTCACATTCATGACGCATTTAATGTTTGTCTAAATTTAAGGCACGTTTTTTTGAGTTTGTTCGCAGTCTGTAACCTTTTGAAAGACACCCTTGATAAGAAAATGTTAAATATTTTTTAACAGAACAGGTTGCCTAATTGAGCGACCTGAATTCAGTTTCTGGTTTAATCGTGCCATACGCTTTATACTCTTTTATACGTTGTGAATTCGTGGTACATTTTTAGTAGCATTAGTGTTTCTTTACGTGTAAAGTTAATTAAGAGGCGGCCCAAACTGGCCCTTCAGGAGTGGGGAGGTGCAAGAAATAATTCTGAAATATCCTTGAACTTCCTCCACCCCAAAAATAGCAATTATAATGCTAGTTTTATTAAATATAAAATAGCGAGTATTTATACCTTGGGGTCCAGAGGTTATTTATTATCGCTCCGGCGTTTGCTGTTTTGAAGGGACGTCGGCTCTCGCTCGTTCAAAGAAGAGAAACAAAACCTGTGGAGCCCAGGGTAGCCGGTGTTGGACAGCTTATCGGAAACGGGGATGTAGGAGTCGACAGTTCTGCACCTATTCATTTCTATGACAGCCCCTGTTTTGGATCATAGTTTTGACCTATGCTCCTAAGAGCAATCTATCGGTATATCCAACGTTGTCTCAGATCTAGGTATGTCAGGTAACCTAAACAGTTAAGCTATATAAGCAAGTTGCCAATGACAAGGAAAAAGTCGATTTTTTAAAAGTTTGTGCGGCCTGGTACCCAGGACCCTTCGTGTTTTTAGTAATGAAGGTGCCTGGGTAAAAAGCTGCTTTTCAAACGTAGTTTTAAGATATATATCCTAAGGAAGCTCGAACCAACAGCGGCTTATGCAGTTTCGTTTGGTTTGGGCTTCCTGTGGTTTATTAATCATTATCAATGTAATGGCTCATTTGCCCTGAAATAAATTGATAATCTATTTGGAACCTTGAAAATGAAATGAAAAGCAAGATGTGTGTTGCGAGTGTATTCATGTGTAAATTTTCCCTCTCGATCTTTAATCTTCCATGCCCCAGTGCCCTCCTTGTGTAACGCAGACCTTTATTAGATAGATAGATAGATAGATAGACTTTATTTAAAGAGGGTAAACACTAAAAAGTGATGACACTTATAAACTTGTGGCCCTCACTATTCTTTTCTCCTGTCACGAATCCCGTGAGCATTATGTACTAAGTCTCGCATTGAAACCTTTGTGTGTGTCAGGCGAAACATATTTCAGAAGTGGACTATTGTTGCCTTCTGCGCACAGACCTCCAAAGGAAACTCGACGATCATGAAGCATACGAAAAAACTATTCCTTTATTCGCTTTGCGTCACATTCTTCTACATCTAACCCACCCAGACGAGCCTTTTTTTGTCGAATACGCTCTTCTTTCTTGGTGAGGTACTCTTTCAGGTTATCCATGTCTTTCTTTCTTCGCAGGGCAGAAAGCTGCTTCTCCTTGCCTACACACTCTACGATTAAAGAAAATGTTGCATAATTACACCTTTCTCTTGAGCTTAAAAATCTCATCACAAAGAAAGCGCAGGCAAGTCTTCATGTGTGCGTCAGAGGACTCTAAGCCTGTGGATGTTCTCAAAGTTGCGTCGTACAAATTGTTTTCACGTCTCGATAAGGAAATAAAATCGCTGGAAACGACGAAGCAAATAGAAAAACGGTGCTGGTAACACCATCTTTGTTAAATTTGCCTTTTTTCATCGCGCGCAGCCTTGCAAGAATATGGGAACAATGGTAGCTGAGCGCGCAACATCTCAGAAATAGAAATGGGTCCTACTACTGACATTGCCTGCCACAATATTGCTCGCATAGTCACGTACCGTATGTACACTTGCTGAAGAAAATCCGACAGTATTCATTTCGGGGAATAAATAATTCAGAATAAGAACATAGTAAATAACCTAGAAGTTTACCTTCAAGATAAGTCCAATCACTTGCAGTAGAATAAACAGGCAGGTCTTCAAACTGTTCGAGTTTTACGTACTAGAAACCAATAAATGACGTTATTAAAAATTTAAAATAACGCGTAGAAAGAACTTCTGCTTCGTGCAACAAGGTAACTTTGTTGCGCGTGGACAAGTCATAGATAGGAGCAACATTCGCTTTGCAACTTGCAACACGAGAGTGTTGTACAACAAGTTAAATTTCGTTGTGCGCATGAACGAACCAAGTACGAAGTTGTAAAATCATCCCTCCCTCTCCCCCTCCCCATTCCCCCACAGCCCAAGGTTTTATGTCCATCTGTCCCAACATAAGTTTGCATGATTTGCATTTTGAGTCTCAAGAATGGCATCTTGATCTCATGGACAGATATAAGATTTCAAGATCCACAATTTTATTAGCCTGCGTTTAGCGGGTATAATTTATTTCGAGAAAAATTTATTTTGAAAGAGCGCAGGCTACCATTTTATTAGCTGCTTACGATCTTTAGTGTTTAAATCAATTCCAAGCTAGAAAGGGGGGTGCACGCACACCCTGTGACCCTCTAAATACGCACTGGATGTAGCGGGGTGTCATATAATGACTATTCTTCAAACTCTCTTGCCATCTTTATTTAACAGCCCCTACTATAAACATTTCTGTTTCTTGAAGCATAAAGCATCATTAGGATGCAAGCATTAATACCTTGATATGTTGTACTGCACCTTCTGGATGGAATACCATTAGCGGCTCACTTTTCATTGGTTGTAAACACCAAAGTAGTCCATTTGAATCAAACGTAATGTTCCAAGGAGGTACACTAGTAGTAACGGTTGGTAACTTGGTGACTTTTAGGTTATTGTCATTGCTAACATGATATAAATGAAGTAAACAAGAGCTACGAAGAAGAAAAAGAAAAAGAAAATATGATAAAACTATCAAAGTACTTTCAAAACTTTGTGTGGGGTACTGTGGAGATAATGACACAGGATTCCCAATCTATTAATATGCCACAAATGATAAAAAGGTTTTACAAGCTCTGTAAGACTAAGCACTGCCTTGGACTAAGAAACTAAGTAGATAGAGATGGAACACACTTATGCGATTTAGGATAACTTCTGATGGGATACCTTTGGAATGATTACACAGGAGGCCCAAACAACAAAAGCCCACATTTTGAAATTTCATAGTGTGCTGTCCCTGTTTAGAAGCATCACATCTACTTACCTTTCTGTCATCACACAGACAACATTATTTTTTGGACAACAGGAAACAGAAACAATAACTTTGTCATCTTGTATTTCTTTTCCTTCTTCCTGGATACAAAAAAAATTCAGAAAAAAATGTAATAAATTATGTAACAAAAGTTCATTCAAATTTGAATTGTTTACCAATCGTTCGTATCATCTGCCATTTCCTTAAGAATACAATCTACATATGTACAAGTTACGAGGGCTAATCCATTATCATATTTTCCTAAGAAATAATACTCAAGGGAATGGCACATGGTCTGAAATGTCAAACAACTATGCAAAATACTGGGTAATACCAGAATATTCGTCTTTTGAAGACTTCAACAAAATAAATGAAAGAAACTATTTGTTCAGTACCTCTTTTTGTTCATTCAAGCATTCAGTGTGTAATCTTTTCCCAGATTTGAAATCCCAGAACATGACGCATCCATCCTAAAAATAATATCAATATAAGTGGAAGCAGGAAAGAGAAATTAATATTTGAATTAGCCATTCTCTGACTTTAATCAGCACCGTGGTTGTTTCAAGGATCAATAAAAAGTGTGTTGTTTTTTTCTGGCTTCGATCCCTTACTAATCCCTCCCTATACTGCTTATGGCTGAGGGGAAGAGAAATGTTAACCAAGTTAGACAAGTTCACAATTATTATATTTGTATTGTAATTCCTTCTTATATAAACTTACCCCACTGCCAGATACCAGTATCTCATCATCTTCGCTTTTTATCACTCCGATACTGCTTACAAAGCTTGAAAAAGTATATAAAGCATTATTAAAGCCACTCTTCTCACACCTTGGAGGCCTTCTAAGTCTGTAGGCCAATCAAGGGGAATCAAGGTTGGAGGAAAGTTAAAAGCTACATTCAAATAATACTTACTCAGTATGTCCTAAGCAATATGCCTCAATGTTATGACAGTTTGGAAAGTGTGTTACTTTTATCTTTTCATCTCTTTCTGCTGTGATAATAAACTTGTCAGCATTACTAAAAGCCTGTGAATAAATTAAAGGAGATATGATTTAATTGGCTAAATGATTTTATATGAACAAGCATGACTTGTCTTTATAGGGATTAGCTTTCACATTTATCATGGATGACATCATTGCTAGTGGCATGTCATGCTACGGCGCTGTCTCTCACCACTATATAGTTCACATATGGGATCGCAAGTTCAATTCCTAGCTCAGCCACATATGTGAGTTTAGTTTGTTTGATGTGTTGTGATCTCCCTTTGGGTTTTTCTCCAGGTTTAATTCCTCTCTCCATAAAAATCGTGGGGGTCAAGTGTTGTGTGTCGTTACAATAATGAATGTAGTGGCAGTGAGTTAGGAGTAATAGTTGTAAAATAGAAGTTTTCTATGAAGTATAATAACAGCATTGATCTAAGCCACCATTTATAATATAGTTTCATAAACCAGCTACCACTACAAGAATCCCCTGCACACTTCCTTTTGTCAATTGTCTAATATTCTTATTAGAGAATAAAATGAAAGAAACTTTTCTGGTATTGCTAGCAAAATAACTCTATTATGCAAACAGCCTATATTGAGTGAAATACAATAACATTGCTCCAAGGCCATGCATTTTTGCATGTCTAAGACTTTGATATTTTTGTAAGTGTTTTTTATTACCATGTCCATAATCATAGAAATGTGGCCAAGTAAAAGGATGCCTTCAGAATGAACATCATTGGTTGAAAATCTGCAATTATAAATATTGCTTAAGAAAATATAACTGATAATCAAATCAATATCATATAACCTCACCTAAATCAATTTAAAACAAAGCACAGCACAGCAAATCAAATCAAAACACAGCACAGCACAGCACAGCACAGCACAGCACAGCACAGCACAGCACAGCACAGCACAGCACAGCACAGTACAGCACAGTAAATCAAATTAAAACACAGCACAGTACAACGTAGTGGTCAGAAGACACAATTTAGGTTGTTTTACTCACTTGTACACATCTCCAGTTTTATCAGCTACAACAATATAATTTTCATCCTTTGTAAACAATATCGCTGTAGCCTTTTTCTCCAATGATCTAGTACTAAGACACTTCCAAGTGTCTGTCTCCCATAATGTAACTGTCTTATTGGTCATGCAAAGACTAAAGTATCTACCAGATGAAGAGAAACACCCAATGTTGCCATGGCCAAGCGCAGGGTCTTGTTTAGCGTCGCTTGTATCAGGCTTTGTTGTCTTACTATCTGTGTTTGGTTTGATGCTTGAGAGTTCACAGGAAAATTTACAACTCCCATCACTTTAAAAAGAAAGACTCATGTACAGAAAGTTTGGAGCAGTTTCAAATATTAGAACAAAATAGAATGACTAAATGATTAAATAAAGGAACGAAAGAATGGGAGAATAAATGTATGAGTGACTGACAAAAAAAAAAGAAATATATGATACAAAATTAGTGAATGAATGAATGAATGAACAGATGAACCATTAAAGGATAGAATGAAAAAATTAACAGAGAAACAAAATATCTTACAAAAAAATGAATGAGTGGGTGATAAACTGTTCATAAAGATAAAGAAAATACCCAAATAAAAAAGTTTGAAACATTATGACTGCAATCAACATTCGAAAATGGATAGATACATAACAATAACCTTACTTGCAATCAAGTATCCTAAATTTACTGCAGGAGATCAGAGCTAGAAGACTATTATTACTAAATACTAAACTGGCCATGTTGTATTAATGTTGTTTAAGCATCCCGTGCCCGCGGTCTGCATAAATCAACTGGTCAGCAGTGATTTGTTTTGCGCCCGTGAATCTTGCTATCTGCGGTAATGCTAATAAGAATATCCCGGATGCTTGTCTGGTCGCCATCTTGAAAATTCTTAAAGAAAATAAGGTTTTCTTGTTAATCGACGAATTATCTCTAGTTAATCTTAAAAATAATACACGATGTCTGACAGCGAGGACTCAAATATATCTGAGGAGGTATGTTGATGTAATATTATTATGATGTATGTTGTATTGCGAGCGCGAGTTGGAATCCTTCGACGTCAACCTTGTGAACCGAATGCAAAGACCAAAAGTTCTTTATTGTAAGCAAATGTTTGAAGTTTATTTGCTTCGTTTTTGGGATTGCAGTGTGCGTTTTCTACTTCTATCGTGCCTTTTGGACCTACTGGTCTTGTGTTTATAAATTCCTGGTGACTATCTAGCTTCTATCTACAGTTGTAATAAATAGAAAATAGATTATAGTTTTCCATGATCAATCCATGTGATGGCGGAGTTTTGGGGCTGATAGATATGTAAACTGGCAACCATTTCGTCAGTGAACTAAGAAACACTTATTTGAAGCTGAGACTATTTAATTCTTATTATCTTAATAGGAGGGTGAAGATATCACAAGAGAAGAAGATGACGAGGAAGACGAAGATGATGAAGAACTCGATGATGAAGAAGATGAAGAAGAATATGATGATGATGATGAGGTTGAGAGCCTGCGCAGGAAAAAGATGAAACACTCTGGCTTTATTCTCGAAGAAGCTGGTATTTACAAATAATATAAATAATAGCAATGATAATATCATAAGATATTAAGCTTATTGGTGTAATATAATTTATACAGTACAGCTGACATCACAATACCAAAAAACAATACCAGCTTCATAATGTATAGAACAAGTCACAATAGATATAACAAAAGACCAGCATAAATTATATTAAACCGGATAAAAGCTAGATAAACTTAACGCTGTTGGTCCTTGTAGTGTAGTGGTTAACACATCGGACTAGAATACTGAAGACGTGGGTTCAAATCCTGCCAAGGGCATTTGATATTTTTCTCTTATT